TCGGTGAGACTCGAACCAACGATAGGAAGGGCAAGACTTTAGTACCATCAACACAACTGCGATTAAACTCCTGGTCGGTCCTCATAGCTCAGTTGGCTAGAGCGTTGGCTATACTAAAACCCTCACCTTGCCGGCGTAGATTCCATTCCGATCGAGTCCGCCTATTTCTTCGCAAATGGTTCAAATAGATTGTTCTTATCTGCCCCAAACCCCCGCCTATTAAATACTGAGACAGTGCACACGTCTTATCCACCCGCTCCCGTCCCCCTCCCCTACGTTCCGACATCGTGGGTGCTTAACCTAAATTACAACCTTCCCTTCTCAATTTCCACTATAGCAATGCTGGTGTCGACAGACAGGCTGGTTGATCCATGCAGAACGGTTTTTCTGTGTTATTCAAGCTATTATACTCCCGACAAACACGCGTATACATAGGGTCTATAATCAGGCTTCGAGTGATGGCTCATAAGCACTTAATCGGACCAAGGATTACAGTGCTACCTCCCGTCCGTCCTAACTGCGGAAATTCATCATCTCTCAAGTTTTCTTTTAAAATCAAAAATCACTTGTGCGAATTGTGGAATCATATACGTGCGCCATGCCTTTTGTATAAAATGGCGTTTTGACCTTCTTAACTGCCTTGAGGGCGAGTGTACACGGACTGCCAGCTGCTGCTGCTGCTGCCACATATTATAGACGTTAAAATGTTTTTTTTCCTGGTAACCTCTCTGATGATGGGCTCCAGCGGGAATCCAGCGATCGTATATTCTCCTTCTGAACTCCTTCCTAAAACCTCTTTGTCCGCGTCTATCAGTAGATAACTCATCTGATGAAATGCCAACCGAACTTCTGAAATGTTTTTTTTTTTGATTCAATTTGTTTTCACTGTTCGCTGGATGGCATCGGGTAATTTGCTTGAAGTCAGCATATCCCTCTTCCTTTTGCCTTCCTGTCTCTTTTCTAAAGGAACTCACGGTGGCCCTGAGGGATCGCTGTGTGGATAGCGTGGAAGAGGAGGAGGTTTTGGATTCTGTCTTTAACCTCGATAAGCAATCCTACAAACCATTCGGTGATGACGGGCCTCGAATCACCCCCAGCAGTGCGGCCTCAGTTCTAATGAGGTAATTCCCTGTGTCAATATATTATTCTTTTCATAACTGTCTACTTATTTCGTAATAGTAAGCATTTTTGTTTTTCCTACTTTGGCGATGGCTGTGCGATGTGCTGTGTAAAATAACCCATTACTATCTAGTCCCGATCACAAACCGACAGCACGGCGGACCCGTGGCTCAGAGGTAGAGCGTTCGCCTCTGGCCCGAGAGACGCGGGTTCGAAATTCGAGTGTGGCTGCAATTTCCGCTGCTACACTGGAGTTTAGCTACCACCACCTGATGACGTCCAACGAGACTGAAAAGGCCTTCGTGTGTGTGCTCTCCGTTTGTCGGTAAATACCATTAAATATCATTGTTTCTAAAAGTTAGCGAGTAACATACATAATTGGGGTTCCAATTAGATCGAAAAACGAACAATGAGAAACAGGATGAGTGCATCCTCAAACAGATCGGTGTAAAATAACCCATTGCTGTGCCACTCCATTTAATGGGGTAATTGACTGTGCTCTTCCTGCCTTTAATACCCTCAGAAGTCTTTGTTAGCATTGGTAGCGCCTTTAAGCGTCCATTGACGTCGACTTGAAGTATCTAAGGGCACCAACACGCAGCCTAGCTGATAATCAAGCCAGACTCTTTGAAATCACGCTATTCTGTCTAATTTCCGATGGCGAGTTGTTTATTTGTTGCGGCCCGCGGTCGCACGATTTCACTTTTTGGTAGCAACAGCTGTCACCGCAGCCTCAGCACTTTTCGGCGCTTCCTAAGCCTCTCCGCGTTTCCCCTACCTCTAGATACGTCGCCACTCTAAAAACTGATGCTTCTTATACCCTGAAGATCCTCTACTCCCACAAGAAAATGGCACTGGGTGGCTATCAAGTTCAGTTGCTGCTGCCACCACCATGTCCGCTACAGGAGATCATTTCTGTAAGTCTCCTGCTCTCTTCTCGGTAACATTATGTTATTGGTAACGTCACAACCTTGTTTTCATTGCATAACTGCCTACTTATCTCGTAGTATTAAGCACGTTTTATTTTAATACTTTGGCGTTTGCTGTGTTACTCCTCTCTGCTCTATTGTGCTACTTACCTTTCGTGCCTTAACATAGCTAAAGTGCCCACTTTCTTGCCACAGGACCGGTGGCGCCGTGCATCCCCCCCCCCTCTGAACGTTTGGACTTTTTCATTCCACTGATTGACAGTATTTGAGCAGTGGGCGCCCGTGTCTCTTTGGGTGGAACTGTCCTTTTTTAATAAGACAGTTCGACCGCCGAATCCAATAGACTGAAGGCAAATGTGTTGATTGCGCGTGATAACGGATTTGCGCCGCATCTACCATCGTCAACATCTGTCTAGTGTCATGACAGGGGCAAGAGGAGCGGTGGATATGACACACACGACGACAGTTCGACCGTCGCTCTCGACGTTGTCCACCACAAGTCTCAGTTAGTTGAAGCGACGCGGTGACTCCTGCGGGATTACAGTAAAAGTAGGTTTGCGGAGAATCTACTCCATTCCCACACCGGGACCCGCTTTCAAGGAGATTGGAGATGGGGGAGGGCGTAGG